AATGTCTTCTTTTTACCTATAGCCAACCATTTCCTTCTAGGAAGTTCACAAGTAGTGTACAAAACTAAAAACCTAATAATAACTAAATGCTTTATAATTAAAGGAATTTGTTTTAACTATCATCACTCATAGCTGGATCTTTTTTTTTTAACTCATCCAGAATTTAAGATTCAACTAAGTTACTTCTGCAGCAGAAGATTTTGAAATTGAACTTTGATTATGTCATGAAACCACGTGATTCCCAGTCAGTCCCAAAGCCCTTCAAATGTATCTTAAACTTCATTGAGGGACCCTACTGCTGCAACATTTGATGTGGCATTCATTCCTCTATGTTGCTTTGTTTCCATAATATCCTCCTCCCTAGGTGACTGAGGTGATTTTCTTGTGATTTGCAATGCTAGAACTCTACAGGCCTTAAGGATAGGTCATTTCCCCATTCATGGGAACTTTTGCCTCCTCCTGCTTGCCAATTTTTAATACAGGCATGATTGTTCACCCCTCTGGATACATTTGATAAACCATTGGGTCTCAGAACGAGTGAGGGAAAATGGTAGCCAAATGTCAGCAGTGTCATTTGAATGCAATGATGAAGAAATACGGTCAGGCCCCTCTCCATGGACATGTGGACAGATGCACCATTATCTTGCACATTAATGGGGGGGGGGGTCTGAGGTGAATATTAAGCCATTTTCTCATTTCTCTGTGGGAAACAGATGATTCATCCTTCTCTTAGTTCTGAAGTGATATGATTATGCAAATGGCATTGCTCATGACCTTTAATAAGCTTGGCAAGCAAAAGAGTACATATCTAGCATTCTCCTCAGAAATACGTTGCACATCACTTATCATCCAAGGACTACCAGAAAAATGGAATTCTTATCTGTCTAGGCATACCAGGCCAACAATACTTTTAAAAGATAAATGTTCTAAAAGACCACAATGGGTTTAGAGGAAAAGATTGCATTGAAAGAACCATAAAAGAATCTAATATCATTTCACTGTCAATAAGTATTTAATCTAACGTTGCTCCTAACACAATCATAAACAAGACTTCATTTAAACCAGAGTTTGCTTAGATTTGGCCCCAAGACCTGTTTTGCAGGAATGGGCATAAGAATAACATGAACATGTGCAGAAAATGCATTTCCCTGCATTAGGAAGCCACATCTGTTATTATGTAAAAAGGTAACGTCTCCCTAGAATCAAGCTTGACTCTTGATGATGTATCCATGTCATTTTCTTAGCAACAATACAGAAGTGGTTAGCCACTGCCTCCTTCTGGAATGTTTGTATTTTACTTCCCAATCTTGGGATTTTCTGGTGGCCTTCTATCCAAATATTAAGTCTAACTTGCTTAGCTTTTTTGAGATCAGACAAGATCAGTTAGGGACAGCGACCTAGCTGGGCCTCCTACCTTGTACTTCAACCTGTTGTGTCTGTTGAAGCAAGCAGCCAGCCATGATAAACACTATGGACTGGATAGTGTATCTCCCCCAAATCAATCTAATACCTTTGTTATAAAGACAAAAAGCAGAAGGAAAACCATGTAAAGAATCCTGAATCCTGAGAAGAACAGCAGCATCAACCAAATTTAGGATGGGCAACTTTTAGGGTCTGACAGGGGCATACAGTATTCTCCTGCCATATACACAGAAAGAAAGAGAAAGGAAGTGAGATACAAATACAATTCAACATCTCTACAGGCAATACACCTAAACACCATATGCCATCCATGTAAGTCAGTATTTGCTGTGTTTTCACTGCCATTTGCAGCAAAAGCATATCAATTCTTACCTCTGTTGCTGGAGCTAAAGACTCAGAGCTGGGATTTCTGCTGAGAAATTAAAATCCCAAGTTAAGAAAAGGGAAATAAATCACCATGTGATCATGTGTTTTCATTTGGCAGTGAATGAGGCTCGAAGTGGGCGACTGTTGAGGATTTTGACACTTATGTCTCTTTCAAAACAAAGATGTTCAAGTATATACCTTACTTTTTACGCAGTGTACATGTGGGCAAGGCGGGTTGTTGTTGTTTTAATGAGTGTTAATAGAAAGTCTTCAAGCTTTGATGTTGCAGAAAACTGCAATGGATCTGGAAACCAAATTAAAAGCGAGCTGGTCTTCATATCTACAGCAGCCTTAGAAAAAATGTAAATCTAATTGGATTATGGGAGAAAAATGCTTTAAGAACATTATCTGAGAACCAATTCATATAAACAAGGCATTTATACATCAGCCTGTTTGTGCATCAGATGTTGTGTCATCCAGAAACTTTTTTGAGATCTCATATGAGAAGACATGCAGGCTGGGGAATTCTGGGAGTTGAAGCCCACCCATCTTCAAGTGGGCATGGTTGAGAAACACTGCTCTATAGGATATAGAGAACTGAATGTTCATTTAACACTCCTCATCTCACCATGTCCTAGCAATATCACTTTTTTTTCTATATAATTTTTTGTCCTTTGAAGTCCTTGGATGATTTTAGTATCTACCTGAGTGCTAATTTTCATCCGTGATTTTAACATTTTATTTGCTGTTTTTGTTTTAAAACTTTTGTTATCAGTCTTGACATTCATCAAAGTAGAAAAGTAGAGAATAAATGATACCATTAAGTGAAGTAACATTTTACACTATACTTTATTTTTTTCACTACCTTGAATGAAAAATAGCAACATATCTGGTCAAAATTCTTTGCATGGAACCTTCTCCATGTGTAGGACCTGGAATTATATCTACCATGATCTCAACCGAAGATAAAGCATGTTTTTTATTCAAACCAGAGAGAGTCTGCATATAAGACCCACCAACTAGCAGTTAGCCACTCTTTCCCAACCTTGACATGTATAGGATCTGCAGTATCTAGAATCGTGTCTTCTTTAAGCAGCCAATCTGGGTGCTGGAGTCTCAATGAATCTGGAAGGGCCTGACTGGGCAAGGTTGAGAAACACTGTTCTAGATGAGCCTGAAGTCTATACAGGGACATTTACAAAGGGAAAGATACTTTACAGTTCTAAAGATGATGCTGGGTGGAAATTCTTGGAATTGTACTCCAACCTTTTCCTACAAGCACCTTTCCCCCTTGCACTCAGCTGAATTATGCTGTGGATTCTATTATTTCTGAAGATAATTGAGTAGATACAGTGGGGCAAAAAAGTATTTAGTCAGCCACCAATTGTGCAAGTTCTCCCACTTAAAAAGATGAGAGAGGCCTGTAATTTTCATCATAGGTATACCTCAACTATGAGAGACAAAATGGGGGAAAAAATCCAGAAAATCACATTGTCTGATTTTTAAAGAATTTATTTGCAAATCATGGTGGAAAATAAGTATTTGGTCAAAGAATTTATTTGCAAATCATGGTGGAAAATAAGTATTTGGTCAAAGAATTTATTTGCAAATCATGGTGGAAAATAAGTATTTGGTCAAAGAATTTATTTGCAAATCATGGTGGAAAATAAGTATTTGGTCAAAGAATTTATTTGCAAATCATGGTGGAAAATAAGTATTTGGTCAAAGAATTTATTTGCAAATCATGGTGGAAAATAAGTATTTGGTCAAAGAATTTATTTGCAAATCATGGTGGAAAATAAGTATTTGGTCAAAGAATTTATTTGCAAATCATGGTGGAAAATAAGTATTTGGTCAAAGAATTTATTTGCAAATCATGGTGGAAAATAAGTATTTGGTCAAAGAATTTATTTGCAAATCATGGTGGAAAATAAGTATTTGGTCAAAGAATTTATTTGCAAATCATGGTGGAAAATAAGTATTTGGTCAAAGAATTTATTTGCAAATCATGGTGGAAAATAAGTATTTGGTCAAAGAATTTATTTGCAAATCATGGTGGAAAATAAGTATTTGGTCAAAGAATTTATTTGCAAATCATGGTGGAAAATAAGTATTTGGTCAAAGAATTTATTTGCAAATCATGGTGGAAAATAAGTATTTGGTCAAAGAATTTATTTGCAAATCATGGTGGAAAATAAGTATTTGGTCATCATCTTTTTAAGTGGGAGAACTTGCACAATTGGTGGCTGACTAAATACTTTTTTGCCCCACTTATATGTTTTTACAGGCCCCCCTGCGCCCTTCTTAATTCAACCCTTTTGTATATGTACATCTCATTTTCAATCCCACTTATATTTTTATAAGTGTGTAGATACCTCTGCACACAACAAGGTTGTGTCAAGCATTTTTAACGCCATAACTGGAGTCCTTCCGTTCCAGGTGTCACTTTAGGGTAGCAGGAAACTAAGGTGCACCAGTATTTCCATTGTGACCCTGGAACACAGTAAAAGGTTTGGCTCCTTTGGTGAGAATGATCCGCTACTCCTAACCTAGCGTCTTTCTCAAAAAAGAAATCAGCTGTTATATGATGGTGATTACAGATTTGATATAGGAAAGTGTAAGGAGCATGTTGGCCATGAAGGTTTACTAAAACTGTTCATCTGGCAGCAGTTGCCTTGAAAAGATAGCCATCAAATTGCTTTTTGTTATGAGAGAGTCAAGATTTTATGGCTTTCAAGCCCCGATTTTATGCATGTTCACTTAAAGTAAGCTCCACTGGATTCATACAGATTTATTTCCCAAAGAGCGTGACAAGATTACAGACTCAACTTCTGCTGAATCCGGTTGGGCAAGAAATCATAATGAAATCAATTTACATATGCCATCTGATTGGTTGAAAACATGTCCTTCAGTATCATACTGAAGAAACAATGGAAACTCCATAGCTTGCCCTATTGGTGGTTTCCTCACTTGACACTGGTTAGCCCATGACAAAATAGTATTGTGTTGCTTAAACTCACCCTAGTATACTCTGGGGATAAAGTTTGGAAACATGTGACGGGAAGTATCTTCTTGAGAGCCAATAAAACCCTCGCTAATGGGAAACATTCCAAAATGTTAACACTGTGAGTTGTTGGTGTGATGTTTAAGGCTAATGGAATAATTCAAAGTTCTCCCAGTTCTAGAGTGGGGACGAAGAGCTTCTATTGTTGAGTTTAAACCTTGTTGGTTCTGGGGTGCTATATTATGGCATTGTGGGAAACTGAAATGGATACCCACTGCTCTCACCGTTAGGGCAAGCAAACCCACTAATATCAGAAAGGGACATTTAGAAGACTTTTTGCTAAAAAGCCCCACCAGACTTCCCAATATTCAGAAGAGGAAAGGAAGTATAATACATATGACCTCAGCAGTGCCAGAAATGTTTTGAAATCTTTTCAACTATGGAAGAATGTCCATAAATGAAAAGGCATGGCTGTTGGGGTATATATTCCTTATTGGTTTATTTGCTACATTTATATCTTACTATTCCTCCAAGAGGCTCAGTGCAGTGTTCTTTGTTTTCTGTCTCTTTTCCCCATTCTGTGTTCAGAACAGCCCCTTAAGTTGGCTCAGGATGAGTTGTAGCGAATGGCTCAAAGTCAACCAGTAAATTGCATGGCTTAAATGAAAATGTAAGGGTAGGTTTCTCATCCCTGAACTGAGGAGGTGACATCTGTCTACCTTTGGACCAATTGATTGCTACTATATGACCCTTACTTGTCATCTTAGGTAACAATTTATCTTCCTTTCCAGTGGCCAGCGAACCCACCATGTCTTCCACAAAACCTGACCAAAATACCATGTCTTCAGAGACTTCTGACGAAAGCCTTGAAGAGGAGGTAGCTGTATAATGAAGCTGTTTCTTGTCAAGGACAGAAGTTAAATTTTGTTTTCTGAGATGTGAAACATTTTCATCATAGTCCAAGGAAGGGAAGTTTGACCTTACACATTCTTTCATTTCATTCAGTTTGTTATCATATGTTACAAAGAAATTTAAGAAAAATGACAGGAAGGAAGAGCACAGAGCTACATTTCTTTAAAAGAAAATTATAGGGAGATATGGCAGGTATTCAACAAAAATCTGGTTTGAGGCTTTATTGATTTTTTAAAACACTCATAGAGGAATGCATAAGAGCTCCATCATTAAGAAACTCACGTAAAGGAAAGATTATCAGAGATTTGGAATTAATCCAAATCCAGAGATGTGAAATTAATACAATTTATTAATTGTAACTTGATTTATTTCCTCACAAACCTGTGTCCAAAAACACTACATGTGATAAATACAGGATAATTTTTAGTTTCTGGGAAGACTGACTTGGGACCAAACTAGAGGAAATAAATGTGATTTTTGCATTAAAAAATATCCCAGAACGTATCACTTCCTTCTATCTCTGTTTTGGTCAGTTACACATGCCCACATCCTGGATCTGTTATTTTCCTATGGAAACAAATGTACAGTAGCTATACATTTATTCCTAAAAGACAAAATGTAATTCCCGAGGATGAGGGATATATATATAAGGAAAGTGGCATGGCTTCAATTCCATTTGTCAATATTGCATCTTAATCCATCAGGAATACATCAGTGATGTGGCTTTTCCTGGTTTTCAATATCAGAACATCTTGAAGAGAGTTGGCAGTCTGCCCTTGGTTTGCTCTGTCTGTGACTTGGTTTCTTCAAACTACACCTCCATTAAGCGAAAAAATTCCTACCTTCAGACAATGTGCGATGGGGCAGAGAAAAGTGTGAAGACTCTCACCGATGCTGCTGTTAGCCGGGCACAACCACTTCTGAACAGTCTTGAACCTCAGCGTGAGTAAAATTGTAACAGAGAAGTTGGCATTTCTATGGGTATGAAATGCAATACCTTGGAATTGATTGAAAAATGGAAAGGTATCACTTTTGGTCAAGTCAGCCCAGAATTTCTCACAAATGTCCCCCCCCCTCCCCACAGACAGGTTGAGTACAACGTGTAGACACTCTTGAATATCATAAAACTGCCAGCAGATTTAACTGATGCTTCGAATCAAAATTGTTAATAAATTTCCTGGCATCCTGCCTTGGAGCTTTGGTCAAAGGACCCATGAAGAAGGCTTGTGTCCTCCTCCTGTTTTATGGAGCACCTAGCCTGTTTCAAAAACTCTGGTGGCATAAATCAAATCACCAAATGTTGATTCTGAATGGCAGCAACCCCTTTTTGTACAAACAGATATCCAGAATGTATGGAGAGGTTCAGGTAGCATGCAAACTGTAATATCTGTGTCTTCTGAATGGTCACAGGAGAGAACAAAATCCTGGGTATACTGTAGAAGATTCCAGGTTCAGTCCTGGGAATGACTTATATCTCAATCTCTGTAGAATAGCTGGGAGCAGGTCCCTTTATCTGTTCCATTTTGTGAATCTAAAAAAAGATATGCCTACTTTAAGAGTTGTTTTAACTTCAATGAGTGGGTTCTTTAATACAGCAGTATCTTTTTTTTTCAGGTCTGCATAGAAGACCTGAAAAACATTGGGCTGCTTTAATGAACCGCAGGGAGGTTCTGCGCTTGAGTGAGGTCTAAAGCGCATCTTCCAAATCCTTTTCAAGGCATGCCCAACAGCACAGCGCTACAATATAATTCATTTGATTGTGTAAAATTCCCCTAGAAAAAATAGCCGGCTTACTAAGAAAGTTAAAAGAGGTATAATTTCTTACTTCCCCTTAAATAATGGTGTTGTGCAAACCTCAGAGTTTCCTCTGAATTCACTACTCAGAGATTTGAGGCATCCATGGTACTTGAAAGCTTGGCTTTGAGCCCATCCCTGCTCTTCTGAGCATAAATATTCATGCGTAAAATCCCTTTAATGAAGGTCTTATGGCCAAGATTGAAAGGAAGCTTGCAACAGTTTGATCTTTTGATGCCTATCTTTTCTTTAGTTCAAATTCACAATATAAAACAAGTTACCAAATTAACTTAAAGCTAAACAATTCAACCCCAAATCGTTCTTTGTCTAAAGATCTTACTTTCAACATTATAATCAGTTAAGTTCCTTTGACACTTATGCAGATGATTCAATTCTGGATTAACTAGATTTCAATTGGCAATTTAGGATTTGTAGCTTCAAATCAGGGGCCTGGAGTAACTGAGCCAGTAAAAAAGGATATCAGGAATGCAGAACGAGATTCTTCATCTTTTTACAGTTTAGTCACACATATTAATTAATTTAGTTACCTTAATGAAGAGACTAAGAGGCCATAATTATTATATAGCTTCCAGCAGAATTACACCAACATTTTCCTTCCAATTTTTTTTTTCTTTAAATGGGAACTGTCTTACAAAGTGAAATCAAAAAATTCAGGGTGTTTACACTTGCACAGAAGAATCTTTCACCAAGCTTGGTGCTTGGTCACTATTTCTTAGTTTACTTAAATTATAACAGTTTTGTAAAGAATGTAATTCGAAGTACTAATAGTTAATTAATTTAATTCTTGTATCTCTCACCCAATGCACAGTTTTCAAAACTTTTCCCCTGACACTCTTTCCCTTTGCAATGCGGCCCCAAGGCTGTGACCCAATGAAAGTTCTCCAGCCTTGGTTGACAGAAGAACTACAACGGGGGCTTAAAAAACAAGACATTTTGTTTCATGTACATTCAGTCTTAAACCTGCTTCAACATCCATATCAATTGTTTTTTTAAAAAGAAAAATAGAAAACATTCATTTTCTTATACTATTTTCTCTAACATTAGCTACACAGTTTCAGTACATGTCTGCTTCTCTTTCTGCAATGTTCACAAATGGCATACAAAGTATGTATATTATCAGAAGTTGTTTACAAACATTTTGGAGCAGAGAATTGCATCATAAAATGTGTATAAGTAGGCAGTTCAAAGGATAATTGTATTCTAATGTTAAGGTGTAAATTAAAATGGTTCTCTTAAAGATCTAGTAGTGTGTTAGGATATAGTTACCTTAAAGAAAGAGATAATAACCCTAGTCAGTCATTTCAATTTCACAAATAATAAACAAATTCTAAATGGAAGGGGGGAAACAGCAGGATTTTGCTTGTTATTTCTAATCCCTCTTCATTCATCTTCAGATCTGAACAGACCCATCATGCACACAGCATGATGTGCGATGCAAATTGCCTTGACTGGCACATGATCCTGCAAAAGTTAGCTCCCTGATCATTGCTTGTTGCAGGTTTTCAGTGCCCCCTGTCAAGGCGTTCTCAGGGTTGGGCCCTTCTCAGAATGATTCTACTACCTTTACTTCATACAGTTACAGCTGCCTGATCACTTCTGTTTTTCTCTAAGTGCAGTGAATGAGACTTCAGAGTTAACAGAAGTGGATGAGTTATGTTTGCTCCTGCTATTCACCATTCTCACCCAGTCAGCTGAACATGAGCCACCAGCAGGCCCACCATCAGAGTTCAGTGAGAGTCTTCAATGAGGGAGCCACTGGCAACTCCATACGTTAACCTGGCAGCTAGAGTTATCAACCCTGGAAGTCTTCTCAGCATTCTGGATTCAAATTCCTTGCCCAGTATAGGGACCAGGGCCTTGTAGCTGGCATTCAACATTTTGAGTTTCCCATGAATACCTCTGGGGGTTCATTATGGCAAGTAATGTTACATTGCCACACTACCAAAGCATTACAGGAAGGATTGCACCATGGGGTATTAGCCAGGTTGTAAGCTATACTAGCTTTCATGCCCAAAGTCATGGTTAGCTGTACTAGAGTGAAAGTAGCCATTTCCCCCTTATGCCAACAGCAATCAGCAGCAGTTTAATGGTGAAGACAATCTATTGTGCTTTCCTATCCATTCTGGTGGTAGCACGCTTAGGTGATCTACAGGTATGGCATGAGCCCAAGACCACTGGTCACTTTGGGCTGGTGCTATGCATGCCCCTATCCTCACATCCAGGGAACTTCTCTGGCCCCATTCCTTTTTGGAGAGGAGGAAAAAACAGGACATGGCTACTGATTTCTACAGTACAGGTAGCTCCTTGAACCTTCCAAATAGCTGAGCATGAGGTGAGCAACCTGCACTGCAAAGGTGCAAGCTGCAGCTAATTCTTTTGAGAGAACCTGCTCTCCTTTTGTACTGAGCAGTCTTCTTCTCGATCAGCTGTCCATTGGGCTTGCACTGAGTGTAGGTGGTGCATTCTCTCAAAAGTGGGGAGGGGGATCCCTGAGAAATCAGGATGGAATCTTCATTTGAGTTCTAATCACATGAGAAATATATATGTGAATCTCATTTAAGGGACAGCTTAGCTGATATCATTCCAGAGTCCAAAATCAGTTTATTTTATTGCAAGGACAAGCTAAAAGGGTGGTGGATTCACGTGCAGTAGGAATGCAACTGAAGATCGAAACAGGAATGATGAAATGGTAGGCAGGTGAAAAGGTAAATAATTGTAATTTTCAGTATGCTGGTTCCCATTGATCATATCTTCTAATTGAAAATATCTTGGCCATCCAATCCCTGCAGAGAATTCTGAGATGTTTCTGAATCAGGTTGCATTCAGGCTTTTTATAATGGATCTCCAACATGAGCATTTAATGGGCAAAGTTAACTTAAATACAGTATATGCCCACCAAGCCTAGGATTACCAGATATCTGAACAAGCAAAGGAGGACATGGACAATTGGAAAGGAGGATAAATGGGGGGAAAAGGGGGACACACTGTTTCTTGGCCTATATGATAAAAATTACAGCAAAAAAAAAAAGCAAAAAAATGTACTTAGGCCTACATGTATATGAAATTACTTTTTCTAGCGTCGGAATGACTGGTTTTACAGTCACAATATTTTTTCAACAAATCTTTATTTTCAAGAACACATGCTAGTGATAATATAGAATTGACAATGGTGCACTTTTCAAATTTCACCACAGAAATGCATGACAAGTCATGTGATCTACAGACTCTAGTGTACATAGATTTGAAGGGTCTAGATTGAAGCTAATTGCTGGAATCAAGAAATACATTAAATAAAGTTTAATTGATAGGTTGTCGAGCCTGTTGACAAGAGAAATAAAGAAGCAGACAATTTACAAGGTCACAATACATGCAGGTTTGAATGACCGCTGTTGTGAAAACAGTCTAAAAACAAAAACAAAAAAAAAGCAAGACATTCAAAGTGCCAAAAAATATTTGATTTTAAGTCTATGCCTGCCAGATGGAGGATACGAGGACAAAAGGAAGGACATGTCCTCCTTTTGCCAGACGTTTAGTAACCCTAACCAAAGCCAGTTTTTCTAGGGTTGGATTGATAAATTGTATGAATGTCAACTCAGAAACTGATTGTATGTAAATGAGCTTGCTTAAATCAGCTTGTATTTACATGACAGCAATAGTTGTGATAGGAAGAAAAGAAAATTGGTCTCAGGACCTTCGGTCCAAGTTATATAGCTGGTCAGAGTCTTCTTAGTTGTGGGCCCTGCCTTAGGGAACCAATGAACCTCTGAAACTTCTGCAATGTGCTGTAATGTTATTCTTACAGGCATTTTTGTAACCATCTCAAAGCTTTTGTAGGTGTGACTTCTTCAACCAATGGCTGAATTCCCACAACACACCAAAACAAATTGAAAGAAGCCACTTTATGAATTTGTGTGGTGTGAACACAACTCTTACATTTTGCAAAATATAGATTATAATTTGGTGTCTGGTAGGAACCCAGTCAGTTGTGATTTATTCAGTGTACCATGACTTGGCAAATCATGGTTTAATGTGGTCTATGATGCAGGCTTATGTTTTTGTTTCTAAACCATAAATATCATAAATATTTTAATGAGACTAAAAGTGATTCCAGATCCCTCCTTTCTTCTTGTTTTTCATTAGTTGCAACAGCAAACAAGTATGCATGTCGTGGCCTGGATACAGTAGAACAGAAGGTGCCAATTCTTCAACAGACGGCTGATCAGGTAGCTGTTTTTAGCTTTTAAAAAATCTGAGAAGATCTCACTATGGAGAAACAAAACACAAATCAATCCTGGCCCAACCCTAGTTTTAGTATGCCATGCTAAGTGAAAGTCCAGAGTCATTTTGGAGTCAGGTGGTGCCTAAATCTGAATGAATGAATGAATGAATGAATGAATGAATGAATGAATGAATGAATGAGGAAGACATTAGATTAGCCTTCCACAGCCAGATGTCTGAGACTTCCAAGTGTGCTCTACTTCAACATACTGGAAAGCACCAAGTTATGGAAGGCTACCTAAGATCACCTCTTGTGTTTTTGTAAAGATCATTTTAAATACCATTGGCAAATCCTAGTATTTAACACCAGCCCTGCAAAGGTTATTACACAGTTTCAGATCCTCAACTTGTAGAGAGCAGCTTATGGCCGGAATGGTTGCATAAACCAGAAGCAACAGAGACATTGTAGAAGTGATCCTATGCTTTGTTGGGCTACATGCTGTAGCACTTTGTTACCTGTCTCCTTTAAAAGAAAAATATTATTGCATATATAGCTCAGCTTTCTTTACTCAGGAGGTACACTGGCTAAGACAATGACCGGCCCAAGATTTAAAATCTATATCTATCATCTATCTATCTATCCTGCCAAAACACTAATTTTTTTCTGGGCAGCGTACAGAACAAAAATCAAATAATACCGTGAAATATAAGAAAATGTTGAGAGGGGGAAAAAAGTAAATTTAAGAGAGTCAGAGAGAGGGTAACCAATTGTAAAGAAAGCCAGTTCCTTCCCTTATATTTTGTGTAGAAGCGGGGGGGGGGAGTAAAAATAAATAAAATTGGGATATCCACCCTCAACTTTGCATATTAAACTGTAAGTATTAAAATTTCATATTCTGTGCAGCTTTACCTAATCCCCTTCACTGCACAAAGAGAAAAATGGACCAAGGGCATCCCCAGGAGGGTTTGTTTTTTTTTAAAAAAGCCACTACTGTGAGATCCCAGCTACCATCTTGGCATGTTTTTTACATTCCCCCCCACAGATGCCTGAGAAATGGAGCTGTACAGTTCAGAAAGAAACAAAGTGAATATCATTCTGTGAATCACACTTAAAGATGAGCCCTGACTTCTGATGTGATAAAGACTGTTACTTTAATCCAAAATGACCTCTCCTCTGACTCCTACAGGTTGTCTCTGATACAAAAGAACTGATGACTTCTAAAGTCAGTAGTGCCAGGAACGCAGTGACCCGCAGGTTGTCAGGGATGGTTGGCATGACCAAAGATGCAGTGCAGGGTGGCGTGAAAACCACCGCCTCCCTTGTGAGCAGCAGCCTGAGTGTGGTGATGGGAACAAGAGTGGGAAAGATGGCCAAGAACAGTGTGGAGACCGTGCTGGGCAGGTCCCATGCATTTGTGGATCGCTATCTTCTTGTCAGTGATGAAGATCTGAGTAAGAACTCACTAGAAAGTCTAAGCAGATACTTAGGAATGGTTCTGGATTTTAATGGTTTGGGCAAATAAGGAAGCACCACTGAACGAGAATGTTGGTGAAAGGTTAGGTAGGACGAATCTTCAGTGGTGGGACACATGCTACAGTAGGAGTTTCTTTTGACTCCTTGGAGGTATTTAAACAAAGGCTGGATGCCAACGCTCAGCAATGTTATCATAGCAAATGTTATTACTGTGCAAAAAATTCTCTTGTATTTTTTCACTCGGATAAAAGAGAATTTGCTTTCAGTTATGCCAAAGGAGAGAATTTTGATGAAATGCTCACGTGTGGCGCAAGATGTTCTTGCACTTAAGTAACAAGAAAGCCACGTGAATGTTCCGCCTTTAACTGTACAATCAATTCCTCAGTGATTGGTAGATTCCCTGGCTTCTCATGCTTATACAGTTCTGAGGGAAGATATTATGAGAGGACATCTTCCATTAAAACTTCTCAATTTTACAAGTCTGGGCAGCCAGGGAGGCTTCAGAACGATGGAAAGAACTGGAACACCAAAGGGCACCCTCAGCTATCTCCAATAACAAAGAACAATCAAAATGCTACCAAGTGAAATTTAAAAGAAATTCTCAAGCACCCTGAGAATAAGGTAGAAAAACAGAAGCATTTGACAAGCAAATTTCAGGTTTGATGAACTTTGTGTATCACGAAGGTTCAATGAGGTAGCTGCTAAGTTTTACTCACTATTTTTATTTAAAATGGGAACAGATAAACAGGGAAGACCTCTACCTTTTCCTAGCATCCCAGTTTGTATCTCTTAATGACCAACACCCTAAAATTTGTTGTTAGTCTTGTCAAAGTTGTTTTGACATTCCTCAGAATTCTTTAGATATTTCACTTGAGGAAGAACTATCAGACTAAGTGTCCACATATTTGTTTCTTTCAACATGATGATCATTCTTCTCATACACCTCCCAAGCATTGACATACCTGCCCAGAGTTACTGGGAGTTGGGCAGCATATAAATTTAATAAATAATAATAACAACAACAATTTATCCTTGGGTAATCAGACAGTTGTGAGAATCAAACTGGAAGGAAAAAAATCTGTCTTATCCTATCTCAGACATGACCAGTCTGTGAAGTGCTATTTGTGAACACCAATATCTGCCACACCTGGTTGGAGGGGAAGGCAGCAGAAAAATGGCAAAAGTTAGCAAAATGGCATCCAAGGACATGGAAATACCTCCTAGCAATAGAGTCCAACAAAACTCGCCTTCATATAAGAACTGGAGGGTGAGAAGAGCTTTGCAAGGCTCTTGCTATAGCCTTTCATCTTACCTTAAGAGCGGTTTTTAAAATTAATTAATTAATCAATCAAATTTATACACCGCCCATCTCACTATATAAGTGACTCTAGGCAGCTCACAAATTAAAATGTCCATGTTATTTACACTGCCCTCCTCCTTTCAGTGGATCTGAGAACATGTTGCCAAGGAAATGGGGTGGATCCTGTGCAGGAAGTGCAGACGCAGATCAAGTGTAAAGGTTATTTGGTCTGTGTGATTTCTCTGTTGAATAAGTTCCAGCGTTATATTTCCAAGCAATCTTGGTGCCATCTTAAGGATGCTAATGAGCGCCTCCAAATAGCCCTTGAAAGCAACTTTTCGGTAAGTGCATTTCCCCTCTTCTATATTTGTTTGTGCATGGAAGAAAACAAGCACGCCAAGGGGAAGGGGGTCAACAGACTCAAAAGGGCCTCCAGTCCTGCACACTCAAGGCAGCCATCTGGATCTTCTGGACCTCCGATGTCCCTGCCCATTTTTTAAATCTTTAACAAGATGGAAATAAGTATGGGATTATCTTCATTGTACATTTGTGCACATTTGTGTGAGAGATGCTTCGTCCCTACATGTCACTGAATGGCTCAGTGGCTAGTAGATTGCATTAAAATGAGTCCATCTGGCTGTGCCTAGAGAGTGAGCATGGCTGGAGCATGGCTGGAGCATGCCCAACATAACAGACTAGGATACACTGAGGTTGGCTCTTTGGTGTTCAGTGATGTGGGAACCCAGCTATTCTCTTAACATGTTCTTTGACCTAGGTCGCTGCTTTAAATCATAATATGGTTAATCTTGGGGGGCATAGTGTGTTATCTGAACACAGCAATTGTGCTTTACTTAGCCGGGTTTAACATATTATCTGGACCCAACCTGTTTATGTAGCAATGACATCAACCAGAAAATGCAAGACCAACATTCTTGGCTTTTTTCCCTTCCTTGCTTTTTTTTTTTTCTCATTTTAATTAAAATAGGACCCTATCAGGTGCCCACCCTATATATTTTGTCTTTAAATGGAAAGATTTTTAAAAAGAAAAATCACCTTGAGAAAAATTGGCAGCAGAATTTGGGATCCCCAAGAACCCAGAAATAAGACTGAAGACTTGTAGTAGCCTAGTGTCTGTTTATTTTAGGAAAGAAACATTTCCCCAAACCTGGTGCCCTCCAAATATGAAACCACAACTCCCAGGATTCCTAATTTGCTGGCTGAGACTCCATTCCAAACCTCCAGAGAGTGCCAAGTTGTAGAAAATTGTTCAAGTGTCTTAATGAAGTTAATTTGTTTTGAAAACTGAATCTTGGACCATATATAGCCCAAGGAAGTGTCCCACAACTGAGCTATGGACCCTCTTACAGGGAGCAAGTACACAGACCCAGGCCACCATCGGTCTCCTTTCCAATAGCTCTTCAACTTTGAAAACAGACTCAGATTTTCCATGAGCAGACATATTTGCCTGTTGTTCAAGCCTTCTCAAAGTATAGGTTGAAGGATGGCCTCCACTAAGCACGTGATGAATTTGTTGACCTATTTGCAACAAGAGTAGAACTGCAGTAGTCAAGAGAGTTATCTAAAGCAGTGGCACCTCATGGAAGGACAGAGTCATACCTGGTTCTGCAGGATCGCAGGGGAAGATACAGCCAGGTCTGTCAGGGCTTGAAATAGTTCCTTGCAGCCAGTGTTAGCTGGAACTCATCCAAAGAAGTAGTTGCCTCAGCAACAGACAGAGGCCTTCTAAAGACTGAAGTTGCTATTAATCCCATCCCTTGGAGGATTTACCCACTTTCTTAAAGGGCCATTGCTCAGTTCCACAACCATGGGCTCAGAGATGCCCTTCTGGTCTGTAAAAATCCACTCAATGCACATCTTGTGCTCTGGACAGTCTTAAAGAAGGGGACAGTGATTTCCCAGCAGCACTTCTTCCCTTCTGAGTTGTTTTTTGAGTCAGGTAATGTGACTGCTGTGATATGTAGTTTGACTGAGTCAGCTAAGGGCGTAAGACAGTGCTGTCCAAACCTGGCCACTTTAAGATGAGTGGACTTCAACTCCCAGAATTCCCCAGCCAGCCATGC